CCCCCCCCCAACTACCACAGCTCAAAGAACCAAAGTTGTTTTAATCCTGTTCCCAGTGGCTGCCCAAGAGCCCTGTCATCAGGAAGCTTCAGGCTCTTCATCAGCCTATCTGCAACTCAGGCACTCTGAACCAGCTTTTCTTCCACATCCTTGGGCTACTGGTTTGCCAGTATGCTGCAGCATTTCTAACCTGGCTGGCCCCAAAAGACAAGGTGAGAACGTGCCACCCTCTAGCTTTCCTCAAGAGATAGACCCTCCCAACTGAGCCTGTCACCTTGTTATTCCCACCTGGTATTGCTCCACCAGGCCTGGCTCCACTGTGTTACAGTGTTCTTCTTCCCTCTGCCCTGTCCACTGGGTGGCCTGGGACAGTTACTTAATTACTAAGTCTAAATTTCCTCACTCGTACCAGGCTTACAGAAATGTTGTAAGGATTAAATGAGACAACGTACGTAATGTGCTGAGCACAGACAGAAGAGTATTACTATTCCAATTCCTTTTAACTCACTAGGAACATTCTGTCCCTGGAAAGGCTGGAAGGACTGGACACTGCAGGTGAGATTTGCATAAACCCAGCAACATCCATCACCTAGCCCAACCCTTGCTAGACAACGGGGATAAGCCTAATTCTATCTGTATTCCGACTGCTATCCTGCAACAAAGGGCAGCTTGAGATATTTCAGAAATGGAGCTGGGTTTAGCAACTTCCCATGGATCTAAGGAGCACGAAGCCATGCCCAGAAGGATCCAGAAGCAATGACAGCAATAGTTCAAAACTCCCATGTGAGGAGCTGCTCTTTGCCTCAGGGGAGCTGGCACTTAGTCTCGATTGAGGTCTACTACCCAGTGTTTAAGTTTACTTAGGGCTCTTTAACTAGTCTATCCCATTCCCTTTGGTGTTGTCCTGGTAGCCCCCTTATTTTGAGTAGATCATGTCTTTCTTAGCAGACACTGCTAAACAGAATCCTTCACGCCCCCACTGCTACCTGTATGGTTTCTGGAGCCAAGGAAGCAGCCATGGGTCCTAGACCCTAAACACCCCCCTTGTGGGTAATTGCAGTAATGCTCCCACCCCCCACCCCCGAGCTCACTGGCTGAGCGAGGCACGGGAGCAACACCGAGGGTTGCGATCCCGTTGCCGGTCCCCGGTCCGGTACGGGGGCAACACTGAGGGTTGCGATCTGTTGCCGGACACGGAAAAAGACAAAAAAAAAAGAAAACTGCTCTGAAGGTATGAAATTTCAAAACCCTAAGCCATTCCTTCTCAGCTTCTCTGCTGTACCGTACATCCGCCCCCGACCCCCGCCGAATCCTCTTACTTCTCTGTCTGCTCTGTTGGCTCCTCCATTTCTCTAACCTGGGCTTCCTCCCAGCCTGGAGTGCCCCCTCCTCCTCTGCCACCCTTTCCTTACTTGCTGGCCAACTCTTACACAGCTTTCAAGAACCTACTCAAACACCACCTCCATCCTGAGAACATCCTTCATCCTCTCAACTTCTCTGGTCTTCCTCTTCCACCTCCACTCCCTGGGGTCAAGGAGGAAGGGTCTGTAATCCCCGGGCAGGCTCCATCAATCCCGCAATATTTGCAGACTCCCCTCTTTGCCCTCAAATTCTGGTCTCAGCTCTCCTTTTTACTAGCAGAGCCCTCAGAGGCCCAAAGCTTTCGGTGAAAAGTAACCATCTGATCACAACCATGTACTTACTTACATTCTAACTTTTAGGAGTTTTAATCAACTTTTTTACATACTTGTGTAGAAGGACACATGGCTCTGCCTGTCCTGATCCTGCTTCAGAAGTAAGGCTCAGAACATCTACAGTAGTCCCCCCGCAATCCACTGTTTGGATTTCTATGGTTTTAGTTATCCAAGATCAACCATGGTCTGAAAGTATTAAATGGAAAAGTCTAGAAATAAACGATTCATAACTTTTAAACTGTGCATTGTTGATAAGTGTGATAAAATCTGGTGCTGTCCTGCTCCATCCCACCCAGGGTATGAATCCACCCTGTAATACGCTACCTGCCCATTTAGTCACTTAGTAGCTGTCTTGGTTATCAAAGCGAAAAAACAGAGTACATACAAGGGCCCTTCAAAAGCTCATGGAATAACAGAAGTAAAAGATAATATGAATCTTTCCATGAACTATTTGGAGACTCGTCGTATAGTTTCAGGCATCACTGAGGGTCTTGGAACATATCCCCAGGGATAAGGAGGACTACTGTATTTCCCTACAGGTGAGCTAAGGTGGCAATCTGCAGATAAAGGGCCAGGCATGTAGTCACATACCCCTAAGGGTGGTTCCAGGGAAACAGAGGCCACTTCGTATAACATACCAACAGTGGTCACTGGAGCACAGGAAGAGATGGAAATGGGCTGGAGGGTGTGAAAGGATCTACAAGATTCCCACTGCTGCTCACTCTGGAAGCTGTTTGTTCAGCCTCATCCTGCCCCTACCATCCTCCACCTTCCCAACACCATTCACAGAAGCTCTGAAGCACAGGAAGAAAATATGAGGCTGTTTCACATCTAGTGCACCTGATAAGGAAAGAGTCATTCTGAGTGTCAATCATATGCGTAACCCTGAAGAAAGGCTTTGCCAGTAGGGAGTAAACTGGGATGGGGGAACCTTCAGGCAATCTTCTCTAGAGCTAAAGGGGCTCCAGGTCACATCTGGGTAACACCAAACCAGAGCTGACTTCCAAGGTGTGATAAATGCTCTAAACAGAAATTAGAATGACTGACCAACTCTGGTCACTGAATATAAGACAACTCACTGTGGATTATTACTATTATGCTCATATTGAAGCAAAAACTACTCAGGGAAACAAAATAGAAGGGAAAACAGAAAACTGAGTTGCAAATAATTTTAAAAAACCAAAGAGCCTTAGTATTTCTAGGACATTGAAAACTGCTCTGGGGGGCCAGCCCGGTGGCGCACTGGATAGTGCGCCGCTTGGGAAGCGCAGCGGCGCTCCCGTCCGAGGGTTTGGATCCCACATACAGACCGGTTCCCGCTCACTGGCTGAGCGAGGCACGGGAGCAACACCGAGGGTTGCGATCCCGTTGCCGGTCCCCGGTCCGGTACGGGGGCAACACTGAGGGTTGCGATCTGTTGCCGGACACGGAAAAAGACAAAAAAAAAAGAAAACTGCTCTGAAGGTATGAAATTTCAAAACCCTAAGCCATTCCTTCTCAGCTTCTCATCTTCAGGGCGCCACACCCTTAACACCTGGAATTCAATTCAAGACAAGCAAGTTGGTATAACTGCCTGGAATACAATCCTTCAAAAACTAAGGTTACTCAGAAGCACCTCTGTTACTGTGCACAAGTCTAGCTGCCCACCCCCAAACACAAAGGACCCTAAAATCTAATGTTGGTGAAAATGGAAGTCAGCTTTAATTCAGAAATCCTAGTGACTTAAGGAGGGATGTCAGGCTAACCCATCTCTCCGGTTAATCTGAAGGAGAACGGCCAATTAAAATCATCTCTCAGACTCAGATTTACTGAGGGGTTTTTAAAGAGGGGGTGAAGGAATGGAACGTGGGAAGTGAAAAGCAGGAGGGAGGGGATGTGAGCTGTGGGGGCTCTGTGCAAGGAGCCAAGTACAAGGTCTTGCCAAAAGGCTCCATCTGTTTTCTGTTCCCATCCTGGGTGTTATCTTAGGGTCCTGCTAGAGGGTGGAATCAACAGAGCTTTACTGATGCTTCCCTTGGTTTCTCAGGGTCTGGAACAGTATGTGCCTCATTGCAAGTCTATAGCTCCAGGCTGGCTGGAAAACAACTTTACATTTATGTAAATACTGTCATCTTGCCCCATAACCAAGGTTCAAAGTATCAAATAATCATGCAAAAAGAGGGAACTCAGAGAAATGTATGCTACGAAAAAAACCTATCTTTTAACATTTCCTGCAGCCCAGGTGGTTTTAGGTCCCAACATGGCTTCAGTCCTGCTCATTCCAACACTTTAATGATACCCTCATTAATGTGCTACAAGGAATAAGGTAGTTGCTTAGCCCTAAAAATAAAACTCATGAGCTGATAAAACTTACTGTACTCATTGTGCTCTTTGACTCCAACCTACAGAGAAGGAAGTTATCTGTACCAAGGTTTGCAAGGAAGTCGAGCGTTCTTAACCTCTCATGCCCGCCGGTTATGCATTTTCTGGCTTGTATGAGAATTTGAAGCCAATTAGATTTCCAGTATCTTCAAGTCCTGAAAAACAAAAATATTGACTTGATAAATGCCGCCACCTGCATCACTGGTAACAAAGTTCAATAATTACCAGCGCTTTTTATAAGATGCTTTGCTGAACACTTTATGCAATTTATGTTCTCAATCCCACACTCATCTCAAGAAGCAAGCATTCTTGCCAGATACAAGGCTACCTGATCCCAAAGCCTGCAACCGGAACTATTATGTCATCTCCTACCTTTCTTCCTGGCTCTTGCAACACTAGCAGTACCATGCTAGCTGCTGGGAAAAGACGAGAGTCAGAACAGCCACACACAACCACACCAATTAGTCAGCAACAGGAAGGCCTTCAGAGCCTCGGGTTCTTCCTGCAACTTTACTGCCACCCTTGGGAGGACCTGAAGAGACTAGAACCACCAACCCTGAAGCACCCCGTGTGTTCAGCTGAGACTTCTGTCACTGGCAACAAGTGAATGAAGAATTAGGAGAATGTGGATCAGGAAGCTGAATAGAGAAGGGTAGAGAAAGCAACATGTGCAGAGGCTGAGAAGACCTTGGATTTCACTCAGGGCCCACTGGGAGGGGTCAGGGGACCACAGTAAATCCAGTGTTAGGGATGCAAGTCAGTGAAGGAGCAAATGAAAAGCGAAAATGTGGAGCCAGGAGTCAGGATGTAACTGGTGTGGAAGGTGCAAAGATGTGATTCTGGTTGGGGAAGCCCCGAGCACAGGGCAGGCTGAGGAACCAAGGGACAGCCCAAAGTAAGGAGGCGGCTCTGGTAGTCATCCAGTCCCAGGCAATAGTGGCTTGGATTGGGACAGCAGTTCTCACAGCAGAGCCTGCATCAGATCAGGCTCACCTGGAAGGCTTGTTAAAGACAAGTTGCTGGGCCCCCAAATCTGCATTTCTAACAAGTTCCCAGTTGATGGTGATGGTGCTGCTCCAGAGACCACATCACAGGACTCACTGGACTGGGATAATGACCACGGAGCTGCAGAGAAGGAGACAGCTGTAGAGATTTAGGTAGCAGAAATGACAGGGCCACTCTCCAATCCATCCTTCTTTTCATCCCCAGCATCACTGCCTTGACATACTCATCTAAACTGTTACCACACCAGATGATCTCCCTTCTCTGGGTACATCTCTACCCTACCGCCTACCCATCTTCCTAAAACACACAGCTTGCTGCAACTTTCCCTGGACTGAAATCTAGGCACCCCCAAACCCCAACCTGTGACCTTAGGCAAGGCAAGACCTCTGTGCCCTCTTTCCTATCTGTAAAACAGGACAACACCTTCCTCAATGGGTGTGTGAGAATTCCAGGAGTTAATACAAAGAAAGCCCTTGGAGAGCCTTGCAGGCACACTGTAAAGGCTCCTAGTTAGACTTGGACAAAACCCGGCATTTCACGGAGGAAGAATCAGTGAATCGCTGCAATGCACATGCAGGAGGATTAAAAGAAAGCCAGTGAGCTCAGTCACAGGAAGTTGGACACTGGTGACCAAGGCATGTGGACGCAGCAGCAAAGGAGTCGCACCCAAATCCAAACTGTACTGAGGATCAGGCTGGGCTGTCTAGAGGAAGCTGCACTGAATATGAGGTCTAAAGTGATGAGAGGAGTTAGTCAAGAAACAATTCGGGGGGGGGGGGCAGGCGGGGGGGGAAGGGAAGGACTCTAGACGAGTACTGTGTGGATGGTGTGTAAAAGAACTAAGGACGGCAAAGGTGAGAAGGGTTCAGACCATAACAAGCCTCATAAACTACACCCTAAGGGCCAGGCAACCAAAGGTTTTAAGACAGAGATGACATGCTGAGATGTGCATTTAGAGAGACTGTGTCACCTGTGTACTGTGAGGACAGATGGGAGACTAAACAAGTCAGAATGTAGACCAGGAAGACTCAGAGCAACCCAGGTAAGAAGAGAACTGGGTGGCTCAGAGGTAGTGGCAGTCTGCAGGAGAGGGAGGTGACTAACCGCATGGGCACGAACAGGGCGTTAGCGTCTCCTGCGTTCTTACAGATTTATTGGTTTACTTAACCATTCTACTATCGTTAGAGGTTTATTTTTCCAGTAACGGTATTATGGATACGTCTAATGTTGACCTCCCCAAACTCTAGTAGGAGTGTCACATGTATATATGGCACATAGGTATATGATGCATACATATATGATTACATGTGTACGTGTATATACAGGAGTCTGATATACATAAGGGTTAGAAACAGGTTGTTTGGCAGGCCACAAACAGGAAGAATTTTAGACTGGGACTGGATCTACCACCATATCTCACACCACTGTACTCCCACAAGAAAAGAAAGGAAGGGTCAGCATGAAAAGGGGTGGGTAAGGGGACATGCTGGAAAAAAAATGAAGCCACAACTCTGCGACATGTCCAAGGGATATGTTCTGATGAGAAGCTCTTGTGTCTAGCCCAGTCCCACAGCAGGTGCAGAGCCCTCAAACCTTGCTAAGGCAGCAGGATCTGATAAAATTATCTACTGACAGAGACTAACATCCCTACCCCTGCTCTAGCTGCACCCATCATGGCCAAGCAATCTACCCTAATATGGCTCCTTGAGCATTTTCCTACAGGGAGAAGATGTTAAAAACAGAGAGAAGCCTAAATCATACAGAATTTAATCAATGCCAATATATCAGTGGCTGATTGGGCACTGGCTAGTACCGACTGCCTAGCTCACATCTCCCCCTTTGGTTTATGGCTTAAACCATAAACATATTATCATTCCCATGTTATTTTAAGTATCTTCCTAGACGGAATTTCAAAAGATTACAGAACATGTGTTAAAGAGCAAGAATACTCATATTTTAAAGACTCATTGTGCACTGTACAACTGCTTTTGTAAAGAATGTCAAAAATATCTAATGGACTGCAATGGCTAGTGCCCAGTTCAACTTGCATGAACATTAAAAGCTGCCAATAATTTTCATCTCAAAGCTTCTTAAATGGAACTTTGATGCCACCATTACATCAATAACCATGCCTTCCTACTTAGGAAAAATGTGAGCTTTTTGCTTGTTACACAAATGAGGGTACATGGTAAGTAGTCAGCAATTACGCCACTGGCCATGAGCCCTGTGGCCTTGCACAAATACATCCCTTACACCTTGCAGCTGTTCTGTGGGACAGTGACACTGTATGGTTTCTAGCACCCTAAAGGCAACTCCATCAGCTGATTAATTCAATAACTATTTACAGGTGCCTAGTCTGGATCAGGCACTGTGCCACGGGCTAGAAAATATAGTGGTGAACAACAACAAAAAACCCACTCATGGAGCATATATTCTAACTGGAAAGATGATCAATCAAGTAATACAAATGTATTCTATCATGGGCCGGCCCGGTGGCGCACTGGATAGTGCGTCGCTTGGGAAGCGCGGCGGTGCTCCTGCCCGAGGGTTCGGATCCCACATACGGACCGGTTCCCGCTCACTGGCTGAGCGAGGCGTGGGAGCAACACCGAGGGTTGCGATCCCGTTGCCGGTCCCCGGTCCGGTCCGGGGGCAACACTGAGGGTTGCGATCCGTTGCCGGACATGGAAAAAGAAAAAAAAAAAAAAAAAAAAAAAAAAAAAAAAA